AAGGCAAATGAGAAATAACATAAGGATTATAATAGACGTACTAGAATACTACGAGGAGCATCCGGAGAAGGAGTTAATGTTAATGTTTCTAGATGCAGAAAAAGCGTTCAACAACCTGTCATGGGACTTTCTATTACAAAAATTACAAGCAGCAGATCCAGGGCAAGAATTCTATAATACAATAAGAGCGATATATAAACAACAATATGCAAGGGTAATAATAAATGGAGACCTGACGGGAATTATAGAGATTAAGAAAGGAACTAGACAGGGTTGTCCGTTATCACCGCTTCTTTTTGTATATGCAATAGAATCACTTAATGATGATATAAGAAACAACAAGCTAATAAAAGGTTTGAAAGTGAAAGGAGAAGAATTTAAGCTACAGGCATTTGCAGATGACCTGGCATTCATAATAGAAAATCCAAAAGATTCAATAGAAGATCTGATGAGAACTATACACCTTTACGGACAGGTTGCGGGATTAAAAATTAACTATAAAAAATCTAAAATACTGGTTAAGAATTGTACGCCGATTACGATAGACTGCATTCTAGAGCATACCAAGATGGAAATAGTTAAAAAAGTCAAATATCTGGGAATACACATGACAAATAAAAATAACTCATTAACTGAAGGGAATTATACGAAACTCCTAAAAGATATTAGACTGGATTTGCAGAAGTGGAACGCTATTCCGCTGTCCTTTATGGGTAGGGTTGCGTTGGTTAAGATGAATGTGTTACCTAGATTTTTATATCTGGCACAAAATATACCGGTGCTAAAAAAACAAAACTTTTTTGAGGATCTCAACAAGGCCACTAGACAATTTATATGGCAGCATAAGAAAGCCAGAATAAAATGGAAGGTGCTGCAAGATAGTAAAGAAAGAGGAGGAATGAGTGTAACTAAAGAGATATGGTATAAGAAAACCCCAAGATGGGTCGCTCCGTTGGAAGCATTCATTATACCCTCAGCGATAACGATGAATTTAAAGGAAAGCTATCGAACATTATTAAATAAAAGAAATGAGTTAAAAACAGAAGAAAAACTTAGAAAGGAAAATAACCTATCATGGTGGGAGCTAATAACACTAAGAGATAGATTTAAGAAAGACGCGACAAGAGGCTTTGAGGACCAAAATAATGAATTGGATAAAATATGGCTGTCCTCAAACGATAAATTGATTCAAAAATTATATAACTTACATCTAAGGGAATTTATGAAGGATGAAGAAATTAAAAATGTAACGATCACCTGGGCGAAAGATATAGGGGAAATTGAGAAAGAACAGTGGGCGGCCATGTGGAAAACTGTTAGGTATATCAAGGCGGTCGCGTATAAAGAAAATGTATATAAGATGTTCCATAGATGGCACTGGGCACCCGTTAAGCTGGCTAAATGTTACAGGGGGTATTCTGATAAATGCTGGAAATGTAAAAGTTGTAAAGGAACGTTTTACCATATGTGGTGGGATTGTAGTATGGTACAAAGATTCTGGAAAATGGTTAGAAAAGTACTTCAAGAAAGTTTAGGTATTAACGTAGCACTGAAACCAGGAATATACCTGCTAAACATGATTCCAAACGGGTACAATAAACAGGATGCGTACATAATTAGTTACATTATAACAGCAGCCAGATTGTTAATAGCACAAAACTGGAAATCGGATAATTTACCTACTAAAGCAGACTTGGTAAATAAAATGTTAGATCTAGCCAGGATGGATGATCTAAGTTTAAAGATGCAAAATAAAAACGAGAGGGTACACAAAAGGAGATGGGATAAGATATATAAATGGATAGAACTCCAAACAGAACTGTAATCAGAAAAGATATTAGTAACGGTGAATGTTATATTACTTACAGTTAAGGTTATTAATGGAAAATGTCCGACTCTGATTTGTAAACAAGATGATAAACGGTGGATATGTATATTCTTTTATTCAAAACAAATAAAAATTTATATACGAAAAAAAGAATTGTTAGAGATAAAATTCTTAAAGCAGCCAATGGAGTTACCCTGAAAATCAAGGGCAAAGAGATTAAAGTACTAAAGGACATACCATTTGAAATAAGGAAGAAAAGGTGTAAATATAAAGACTGATCGCATTCCTTCAAAAGAAACAAATTGTCTACAGATGAATTTTTCCCGAAGGAGTCATCTTTAAGTTTGCAAATGGAAAAAAAAAATTGACACTCTGAAAAAAGCAAATGAATTCCTGCACCTGCACAGCTGTCCAACAGATGGGAAAGAAGAAGACAAAGGCAGTCCTGAGAAGGAAGATGGAGATGGAGTAGAGCCATCTTCTGGTGAAGAATCAGACTCAAATTTGGGGGCTGCGGCCCCAAAACGAGGCTATAAGTTGAGGAAACCAAAAGAAAAAAAATGACTTGTTATTATAACTCTGAAGTTTAAAGAATGTTTAAAATAAGATTTCTTAGACTCTTTAAGAAGTCATAGTAGACGATGTTTAAGTTGGAGCAGAAGTTTGAAAGATGATAAACATGTTGAATGAATTTATATGAATATTTAGCTATATAAGCTTGTAATCTTGTTAAAGCAGTTTGTATGACACCCACTCTTGGGTTTTTAGAGATTACTTAGCCCCTTAAGAAACCTCTCAGACAAATGATGGGAGAAAACTGATCCCTTTCCTATTTTTTCACGTAGTGTTTAGTTTTAGAAAATGCAATAAAAAAATCCCCTTCAGGGGCAAAAAAGAAAAGAAAGACAGAACCCTTTAGTTAAAAGCCTGAGTAAAGAGAAATGTTTTGACCTGATGCCTAAAGGAAAGGAAAGTAGGTGCCAGGCCAGCCTCAAGGGGGAGGACATGCCAAAAGCAGGGTGCCATAGAGGGTTCTGCTAAAGAACAGATAGCAAGGAGTTTGAAAGGCTTGAGCATTAACTGTGCTAACACAACGGATCGAAACCATTGGGGCACCAAAGGATCTCTGGGCACGCAGAGATTACTTAGCCCCTTAAGAAACCTCTCAGACAAATGATGGGAGAAAACTGATCATCCCTCATAGCAGCCAGACGTACCTTCAAAGAAGAAAACACTAGGCCCTTAGCTCTCAGGTGTATTAAATAATCAAATATGACCTGCGAAGGAGCACCACCTGGTGACACGTCCTTCTTACTACACCAAAGGAAAAATTGCCTCCACTTATACATATAGGATTTCCTAGTGTTAGGCTTGCATGACTGCAGGAGAATGTCATTAAGCTCCTTAGAAAATATTAGATCTCTAAAGCCTCCAAGCCATCAGGTTGCGATGGTTCAGATCACGATGAAGCACCTGGCTGATGCTGATTAAATCTGGTTGGTTTGGTAGGGGAAGCAACTGGCCCTGGGAGATCTCCATAAGGATCAGAAACCATATTTCCGAGGCCAAAAGGGTGCTACCAGGATCATGTTTGAACTCTCCGTCCTGAATTTATTACCCTGATAAGGAGCAGGAATGGAGGGAATGCATAAAATAAGGCTTTCTGCTAACATAGCTGCAATTCATCCCTAGGGAACCAATTCCTACTACTGCTCAGGAACAGAACCTTACAGCCCTCTTGTTTTTTCACACTGTAAAAAGATCAACATCTGGAACATCCCAGAGGGTAAAAAGTGGTTCCAGCTAAGTGGCCTTTATAGACCACTTGTGGGAGAGTGTGCCAGCCCTGCTCGATCCGTTGGCTTCCATGTTTAAATTCTCAGGGATGTGGATAGCTTGAATGGAAGCACTGAGCCTCACTGCTGTGTCCCATGCAAGGGTAGCTTCCTGACATAAACCTCTGAACCCTGTATCCCCTTGCTTGTTTAAATAAAACACTCTAACTGTATTGTCCACCTGGACAAGAATGGATCAGTTCTGAAAGATATCTGGGAAACCCCTAGCTGACAATCCCTCACAGCAGGTGCCCTAACCCAAGAGAGAAACGTACATAGTGAAGACTACCTCATGTTCAGAAACTTAGATGGACAGCCCCGGAATAAATTATCCATAGAAGAACACCACAATAAAGAATGTATAACAGGTCTGGGAATATAGAATCAGTGCCATAAGGTAAGAACCCCAGTTCTATAACGACAGAAACCAGATCTGCAGATGTCGCTTATGTGGTAGAAGCCATATATCCCAAAAGTCGCAGAATTTCCCAAACCGATTAGAACCGGTGAGAACTGAACTGTCTCACCAAGGCCAAGATAGCCTGTACCCTTTCAGGAGGTAGAAACCCCTTCCCCATTAGGGAATCTAGCATAGCTCTGATAAATTGTACCCTCTGAGATGGAATTAATTGTGATTTGACCCAATTTACCAGGAGTCCTAGTCTTTAACAGGTCTCCAGGACAAGAGTGCAGTGACTCAACAATCAGTCCTTGGAATCAGCCACCAGAATATCTTGCAACCCCACCACTGTTCCCTCTAAGCTGAGAGTGTGAGCTAGCTCACAATTTCTTAGCCTCCGGCTCACACATTTTTATCTTAGCTCAGGAAGGATGGCTCCGGAGTAAACTAATTTATGCAGTAGCCAGGTCAGTTGCTCACAACTTTAACGCCAATAGCTCACAAAGTAGAATTTTTGCTCACAAGATTCTACAGCTTAGAGGGAACACTGAACCCCACATACGGAGGTAAGCAACAACTGAGGCTAAATACTTCGAGAATACCCTGGGTGCAGTGGCTAGACCAAAGGGTAGAACAGTGTCCTGAAAATCTCATTTCCCCATATGAAAAGCATAAGAACTTGCGATGCTGAGGGTGGACTGAAACATGAAAATAGGCATCTTTTAAATCAACAATGATGAACCAACAATCACATTTTAATAATGGTAAAATCAAAGGAATGGACACCATACAGAACTTTGAAATGTGAAGAAAAACGTTTAATTTTCTGAGGTCTAAAATGGGTCTAACTCCCCCATCTTTCTTATTTACTAGGAACATATGAGAGAAGAAACCATCTGATGTCTGAGACAATGTAACCTCCTCTATGGTGCCCTTGTCAATTAAGGAGCTGCTTGGCTGGATCCCCTTAAAGGTAAACAGCAAGGGGGGATAGACTTAAATTCTAATCTGTAACCAAATCTAACTATGGACAAAACCCACTCGTCAGAAGTAATAGCCTCCTAGGCTATAGCAAACTGAGCCAGCCTGACCCTGGCAACGATCCTAGTAGACTGACTTTTGGAATGAAGTTGTCTCTCTGGAAGAGGGCATTTGCTGATTCGACATAGGTTGATTGGAACCCTTGCACCTATGGTAACCTTTCTGTGGAGAAAATGGCTTAAGGGTATGATACTGAGACCCCAAGAGGCCAGAAAAATGGTAGTCCCTTTGAAATGGATGTCAGGGCTGTCTCACAAAGGACCTCTGCTTAAATTGGGACGTGCATGAGTGTGAGACTCCTGGGGACTTAACTGAGATGTCTGCTTGTTCTTCTTTATCAGGGAAAGCATCTCATCCGCCTTGGAAAAGAAGAGAGTGAAACATTTGAAAAGTAAGTCCTCAACTTTAAGCCTGGTCTCCATAGGCAAGGCCATTGATCTTAACCAAGCGTGGCGCCTGAATACTATGGAGCTCGCCAAAGCCCACACAGCCAAATCCGCAGAATGCCATCCCACATTAATTTCTTGCTTTGAAATTTTAATGGCCTCTGTATGCAGAACTTTAGTAAGGGGATGCTTATCTTCTGGCAGGAGTTCCAGGAATGGAAGAATCCGAGGTAATGACTTCTGTCTTGAGAGACTGGGCCATACAAATAATCTGTTCTCAAACATTCGGAGATCCTCCATGATAGAGATGGCTCACCTATCCTCTTGTCTGGGCTTGGATCCAATTTTGTGTCGGATCTGTTGGATTCAATAGCTGTTTCATCTCCTCTCACTGCTGGAACAGGAGAACCCAGCCTGTGTGAGATGGTCGCTGAAGGCAGATACGACGACACCCAGTGAGGGTAATGATAAACACTTGCATCCTTGGGGCTTGCAAAGCTGTCACCCCATTCCTCCAAATATCCTGGAAACATCATGTAGAAATGTGACGGCCACTGCATAGGCGGTTGGGGCTGAGACCACAGAATTGTGGCCATTTGTTCTGGTTTGGACTCACACAGAGCCTGGTCATGTGGTAAGCCAGTATTTTCGCCCCCATCGGAGACAGAAACAGGTGGAGATCTTGGAGATGGGGCCCTGTTTTTCTCCTGCAAGCTTGGCGTTGGCTCAGGAATGCAGATGGGAACATTCTGCTGTGGAGCCGGTTTACACTGTTCCTTTGTCTTGCCTTTAGCCTTCTTAGCTGGAGGCTCAAAAGAGGTGCGATGAACCTAAGGGGAGTGCAACTGAGATCGGATCCACTGAGATATGGATACAGGAAGTGAAGCTGAATGCATCGATTCCGAAGATGTGGAATTGGGAGCTTTCTCTAGGACTGACTTGGATGCGGGCTCCGAGGCTTTAAAGGCTTTCTCCCACAATGCTGCCTTAAGTTTCAGTGCCCTACCTGCCAAGTTTTGGGGGTGCAGCACTGGCAGGCCTTACATGTGGAGACACTATGCCCTTCACCAAACAGAACAGACAAAGGCCATATTTATCAGTTTGGGTCATCTTTGCTCCACATCAGGAGCACTTCTTGAAAAGGGCTTTCTGAGCCATGGAAGGCCTCAGAAGCCGAAGTAGCTTCGATGAATCTGGACGAAAACCTCTCAATTGTAGCTGGAGATTCCAAAAACAACTTTCTCCTTCAGTGGCAAAAGAGGAACTGAGGGTAAGGGGGTGGTCTCTGGGCAGGAACAAGCTTCTGACTCCAGCATGCAGCACCCCTGGAGGCTTTTAGCTGTAAAGAGCTATCCAATGGTAGGCCTGCTCATGTGCAGTCCCCATGTGGGACTGCACAAAAGATCGATGATGAAGCAGTATCTTGGAAAAGTTCCAGCCTCCAAGCCCATTTTATACTTCTTGTAGATAAGCATGAGTAACTCAAAACTGGAAGTAACGTTTTCCATTCCTGACAAGACTTTCTGTTAACTTTGTCAGTAGCTGGCTTACAGGCTGCTTCAAACCAGTTCTTTCAAGTCCAGTCACCTCATTATCTCTTCAACACAGCATGTTCCTTTTTCGCCTACGTGACCTCTTCATCCAGCCCTAATGTAGACTTCAGCAGACTTGCCTGAAGTCAGGCTAAAACAAATTTTCTTCCTCAACACCCTGCTTAATCATGGACTAAAATATAGGCATATCTTAAGAATTCCATTTACCTGGAGTCCTTGTCGAATGAGTCATTGATAGCTGCAACTGGATCCTCTTGTTTCATCATGTCCTCCAGTTCTTTCAGACATTCATTATACTAGGAAAAGTCACACCATTAGCAGTAAATTCTAGTGCCTCACTGCTCCCAAGTGATAACAAATCTTTTTGTTTCATGATCTAATAAACTTTTCCTACCTTATTCTTTTTTTCACCACAGAAATCTAACAGCGAATCACAGAAATGGTATCCTATGGATTCCAAATCCTTTGTATTAAAGTGGGAACCACTGTTGCCTGGGATATGAAGGGAAACATCAGTGAAGAAATACCTGTCCTGCCCAATGCCAGCAATTATTTTATTTGTTATAACTGGAAAAACAAGACTTCTGGCTACTGCTTTGCAAGTCTAAAATTCTTTTTTGTAGCAAAATACTTTAGGTTTCTTCTAAATTCTTGCCAAAGGCCTCTGTCAGTTATCTTGGACTCACAGCATTCCCAAAGTGCATGGACTGCAGAGATTGCATCTGTTACAGACTAAAGGACTTATCTACACTACAAATGCATATGTATCTTAAATAACTTTAATATCATGGGTCCTCTCAAAACATTCTGGGAACTGTGAAATGCTGAGAACTCTCTGACAGAAAGGTCTAGCACTTCTGCCCTAGGAATGACAATCCCTAAGGGATTACTTTTAAAGTAGTCTGTATAGGCACAGATATTTATCTCAGGAACTAAATACATCCATCAATAAATATATATGGTACTGAATGTATAAATAAAGTTGGATCCTATGAATCCTAAATAAAAGCTGCTCTTTTCTTCCTTCCCCTTTCTTTAGCAGCTCCCTAGGACTCCTGAAAAGTCACAGCTTGGGATAAAAAGGTTTGTGGACAATGTATCATGAGGCATAAGTGAACTACAGTAAAGAGGAGGAACTGGTTGAAATCAACACTTGTTCCACTGGAAAGCTTGCTCTGCCATACTTCATCCACCAGTTGAAGGACCAAAGTGGGGGCAGTTTTGCCCAGTTCACTGCATCTCTTCTGTGCCTTGTGGCATTTTATAAATGAGGCTCCTTTTACCTCCAGCATTGGCTTTGCAGGAGTCTTGCAGGAGGGAAGGGGAAGGCAGGGAAAGATCCTTCACAAGGTTCTTACACCTGCAGTCTACGGAATCCAACTCACTGTGTTTTATGGACATTAGCCTTGATATATATGTACATATCTGCTCACCTTGGGCTTAACTGCTACATTTGATATCTACAATCATTTGTTTGTTTTGCGAAGTGCACATGCGTCTGTAATGATATTTCAACACCATACGCATTTGGCATTGTCTTTAACAAACACAACAAGCTTGTATCATATTCATCTCAACCAGCAATAGCAAATCTGAGGACCTCACTCAATGACTCAATATCCTTTCTGCAGAAAAAAATATATTTGCTTTACCCAGTTTAGAGCCACAGAAAGTAACTTCCAAGGTATAGCTATTGCTGATGCCCATCTTCCACATCACTACTCGACCTGTCCCTTCTTTGCCCTTCTGTGTCTTGAAACTGCAATCTGGGAATGAAAACTTACACAAAAAGATGTGTGATCAGTGCTGTGCTTTTTAACGCTAAACAGCTTTCCTTTCTAATAAGGGCCAAACAAGACGTTTCGACAGACACAGAGTTGCTGCCCCAAATGACCCTCTCATGTCACATGCTCCCTCCATCTGCAGTTTCACTTCCCTGTGACATGGCATCAGCACACCACCCCATGTCATTGGCTGTTGCTGATGGGTGTACGTGCGGGAGAAAGAAATGCATCATCTGGCAATGTCATACTGTGATTAAGTGAAGCTATACATTGTATAGAGAGCGGGAAGGACATGACACAAGTATGCCGAGTCTGCCATAACACAATTTGGCTCAGAGGCAGGGAGGAAAGCGGAAGTGTTCAATATTTTTACAAGCTTTTTATAACCATGAAACCTAAAGTATAAATAAAACAATGTTAAGCCACTTATATTCTAATCACATACAACCAAGATGTCAACAACTACAATTAACAGTAAAAGGTATGACTACGATCTGCTTTTTCTAGAGTACACAATGAATTCCCACAGGAGTACATTGCACGGAAGATCTGTGTGCCTTATATTCAGTCAAAACTCATCTATTGCAGTCATACTTGTTAATGCTTAATTTAACTGAAACGAACTCCAAGTAAATGTAACTGTGTCTACTCCTATTCATCCCATGTTATTGGCCTTTCCCTTCTCTTCACAGGTCTCCCCTTCTACTGAAATCTAGGATGAGTCCACACAGGGGTGTGAAATCATGCCACTGTCATAGCAGCAACAGCAAGTAGAGTGGGAATGCACAGGAGCAGTGTCCACAGAGACCTTTCCCAGACTGCTCACTGCATAAAAACAGTCATGCTGGGATTCCCAACAGCCCTTTCCGCTCATTTTCCTTTTCCCTACCAAGCCATCCTGTAATTCTACCACATTGCTCTCAGCAGGGAAACTGGAAAAACTTTTAAAGAACTAAAGGTGTGTGTGGGGGGTGCCCTTGCCATTGTGAAAAATGGTCTGCTGTGCCTCCCCTTCCCCATGATGACGACAGAGGATTTGTCTACATAGAGACTCCTCTGCAGCTACTCCACATATTCCCCTTTTGGCAGGATTAAAACAGGTTCCCTTTATCCAGTTTAAAGGGGAAAGTCCCAAGAATGCCACAAGCTGTGTGCCAAATAAATGTAATGTCATGGTAACTTCTGTGGGGCGGGGACCAGAAGGAGGAGGAGGAAGAGATTGGATTTATACCCCGCCCTTCACTACCCAAAGGTGTCTCAGAGCGGCTTACAAACTCCTTTCCCTTCCCCTCCCCACAACAGACACCCTGTGAGGTAGGTGGGGCTGAAAGAGCTCTGACAGAAACTGCTCTTTTTCAAGAACAGCTCTTATCAGAACTACGGCTTGCCCAAGGTAATCCAGCCAGGTGCAAGTGGAGGAGTGGGGAAACAAACCCGGTTCTCCCAGATTAGAGTCCGCGCACTTAACCACTACACCAAACTGGCTCTATTGATTGTGCTATAGAAATATTATGATCATTCATGTACTTAACATCTTATGAGAGCTATCTACTTGCACAAGCAATGTAATACAGGAAGAGGAACTCAAGAACCGCTGTGCAACAACTTCTGTGAAGAGGGACATACATTTTCAGCTTCTGCTGTTCACAGAAACTGAGGCAACAATATTGGGAGTTCCCTCTTTCTGAACAAATACGCTGGTTTTTGGGGGGACTCTTAAACAGCAGCAAGAATTGCCCTAGAGAACAGTGACATAAGATATAACTGCTGGGTGAACAAAGTTTGAGTCCAGTGGCACCTTTAAAACCAACAAGGTTTCTTTAGTATTTATTCTTAGTTAATTTGACAACTGAGCAAGTCACATCCCAACAAGTTAGCTGCCTCTTTAGTTGTATAGTAGGCTACCATTTAGCATGAATTGGTTTCCTTTTAAGGAGTACAATATTGTGTGAGACACATATTCAAATGAAGGCCTCAATCAACAACTGGGAATTCTGAAAGTGTCAGAATTCTGAATGGATCACTATCACCGTCCTTCTTGTGATAAAACTACTATTGTTGCCAGTCATGCAACTCTGCATGTTTGAGTCATGCTTATAAAAGGGCTCTCTGCAGAGACCCTACTATGGTTATATGCAGGGGGGGGGGGTGTTTTTAAAACCGAGGTGCTGTAACTCTCAAGAGGGAAATGATGTTTTCGATCTGTATACTGAAAATTAATGAACTTTTAAACATTTTAAAAGACTTTTGTCTAAGAGGTTCTGGAACTCTGTTCCAGTGCATCCCCCCAGAAAAAGCCCTGGTTATATGTCCTAGTAGGCTAACACAGCATAAGTAGTATGACGTTAGAACACTAAACGTGCTGAGAAATTAGGTACATGATTTAGCAAACTCTGAACGACTGATAGCAGATTTCTTCTACTGCTATAAAGTTAATGTAATAAAGTTAAAGGTTGCCTTACTTTATCTGGACAATTTTTGCTCATAAGGAAAGGAAAAATTCGCTGGTGTAAGCTTGTCCCTTCTTCTTGCTGCTCCCTTTTTTCACAGCCATACATGAAGACATTCTCTTTCCTGCTATGACCGTGAAGGTCACAATACAGGAGGACATTGCGCTCTTCCATTACTCTTTGAGAAGGAAGAAAATGATTATACATGAACAACTTTGGTTTACTGTAATTCAGACATCCCCAGCCTGCTTTCTTGGATTACAGCAGTAATTACAGGAAACAGCCACTGGAGCTATTACTGATTTTCAGAGATCTATTGCTGGTGGCATATTTATGTTTAGAACAAGCCCCAGTAAGGTATCCCATGGACTACAATGTCAAGGCAAATTGTATATACTGGCCACCCATTAAATCTTCCACTTAATCAAATATTGCTTGCATTACAGTATTCATTTTGGACACTCGAATGTGTGACTGAACAACAAATGCTGTCTCTCCTGAGAACCTTCTCATGGCAGTATGAAAATGCTCTCTAGGTGACAGCTGACACTTAAATTATCATCATACATAAGCACAATTAGGAGGAGGAGGAAGATCCTGTTTGGAAAGAAAATCCCCACTTGTTACTGGAGGTTGGCTTTTCTATTCTATACGACAGTTACAATAATGCACAAGATAATGACAAGAGTCACTGGAAAAGACAATAATGCTGGAAGAAGAAGAAAAGAGAAGAGATTGGATATATACCCTGCCCTTCACTACCCAAAGGTGTCTCAGAGTGGCTTACAAACTCCTTTCCCTTCCCCTCCCCACAACAGACACCCTGTGAGGGAGGTGGGGCTGAGAGAGCTCTTGACAGAAACTGCTCTTTTTAAAGAACAGCTCTTATCAGAGCTATGGCTTGCCCAAGGTCATCCAGCCAGGTGCAAGTGGAGGAGTGGGAAATCAAACCTGGTTCTCCCAGATTAGAGTCCGCGCACTTAACCACTACACCAAATCGGCTAGGAAAGGTTGAAGGCAGCAAGAAAAGAGGAAGACCCAACATGACATGGATTTACTCAATAAAAGAAGGCACGGCCCTCAGTTTACAAGACCTGAAAATGGTTGTTAACAATAGGGTGTTTTGGAGGTCATTAATTCATAAGGTTGCCATAAATTGGAAGTGGCTTGATAGCACTTAACACACACACACACACACACACACACCAGTTACAGAAACTATACAGTACGTCTTTAGGACAATCAAAACGCACCAAAATGCAATAATCTCGAAAGTAAATAAAATGTCATGCAGTGAATACTGGGCATATGTTAATATATTAATATCAGGCTCAGAGAAAACAGAGTGGCTATACTAAATAGAGAGGAGGAGAGATTGTGTTACCTTTTTACCTTTTGATCATGGTCCGGGTGCACCAAACAGGAGGGAAAGATTCCTTGAGATCGGATCTGTAGGTTCGATTCAAATCCCTACCTGCTAAAGAGCAGCGGTAATTGCCCACAATGACACCATCAGGATTTAACATGGGCACAACTTTGAAAACAAAGGTGTCTCGGAGCAACCGGGCAGTGTCTGAATCCCCCAGAATATAATCCAGAAAGCCTTTCATCATCCAGGAGCTGTTTGTTTCACCTGGGTGCACTCTGGCAGTCAAAATCACAGCAGCCTTGCGTTTTTCCTCCTGGAAATCTTGCAGAGGATTGGTGATGGTTAAAACATAGATAATGTTTCTAGCTAGGGACTGGCACAAGATGCGAATCTTGCAGAACTTGGACCTCTTTGGGTCTCTGGCAATAGCTGACAGATAGTCTTGCAGGTTGCTGTAAGTATAAGGATAGCAATGGGCAAAGTAGCAAGTATCCCTGTCATGAGGGAATTGGAATGTCCACGTGAGGGAAAAATACTGACGCCCATCCTGACTGAGATTGTTTCTGTAATACCTGATTGCATTTCCTGTCCTTTGCCATCCCACTTTGTGGATCTTTGCTTCGGCCTCTGAATACAGCAACGGGCGCATACCACGATTGTACAAGCTTGTTGGTTTGGTGAAATTGACAATGGTGAAACGATACGGCCTTCCTGCTTGCGTGTTGGTGACCTGGAAGTAGTACCACTGAGTGTGCTTATTTGTGTACAGATCAGTGCGTAATGTCAGCTGGTACTCAAAATCACTGCTACATGAGGAAAGGAGAGAAAAGATGTTTAATCTGGACTATACAGTCGGACATACACGTACTGTCATATGATACATATTTGACTTTATGTCTGTTATTTCAAATGTTTTAAAGCCAAATTGCTATCACTAATTTTTGTGTGTAGATTCTGTAGCAAGTTATTTCCCTTTACCAACTCATTTGGAAATTGTTTATATTGATATATTTGTATTTTAAAGTAGACCATGCAATTCTGCAGTGATTGTAGATCTAATTCTTGGCTGTTTTAAGAGAACATGATGGTATAATTAGGTTACATTGACCTCTGTAGAGCATGAATATCTACTTTAAAACAGATATTAAAGGCAAAGACAGTAGTTACAAGAATTTTAGAATAAAATATGGGTAACTGTGCCCATTCCATGCCATTACCTAAAACACCCAGTATGGTAGAGTTAGACAGGATCTGGTGAGACCCAGGTTCAAGTCCCACCTTGTTCCACTCATTTGCTCTCAGTCTATTTCTGCTTCAGTTGTTGTGAAAATTAAATGAAAGCGGTGACATGTGTCATCTTGAGTTCCTTGAAGGAACGGTGTGATAAAAATAACCAAATAAATAAAAAAATATTGCTTGGAACAGACAACTAAAACATTTTACAACAGAAATATGAATGATCAAAATCCACAATTGTTATGACATCCCTGATTTCACACAAAAGATTTGATCTAACCTTCCTCCAAAACTCATTCATTTGACAACCAAAGCAATTTTGGGTTTCTCTACTGCTGCATTATCACTTTACAGAGGTAGCAAAGCACAAGACTGAGCACTAAAATCCTAGCAGTAACACAAGGAATACCTTTGTACTCTTGCTGAAACCCAATCCTTAGCCCTACTACTAGAGCACAATCAACTGTAAATTTGTTATCTTGATCTCTTACCCTTTGCCCAAAGAGCTCAGTGCAGCAAATAGACTAGTATGTCCATGACTATGCCTTCCTTTGCTGCAGCACTTCTTCGGGTAGTAGTGCAAGTGAGTATTTGTGTCATCAAGAAATTGAACATTACATGTCATCCTGGCTTAAACAGAAACTTGGATTTCCTTCTCTACATTCTCTAATACCTCTCCAGGATCTATTTTATAGAAATGTTGACTGGCTGTTCTTAACATGTTTTACCAGATGAGACCTTTGTACCAGTATCTGTAAATTTTCACTTAAACTTATCATCTTGCTTATTTGTTCAAACCTCTGATCTCTTTCATCATCTATTTGTAACTGCTACACTGTTTCAAACATAAGAGTTTTATGACTGGACCTAACTTTTCTACCTTCCTTTTCTCACACACTGATTTACACTTGGAAGGCTCATGACAGGGTTTACTCTCTGCCTTAGCTCCTCCCCCCTTGTAATCTTCCCCCTCAAGTAGGAGTCCCAGTTTGATCTCCATATATCTGAAGAAGTAAGCTGTGACTCACGAAAGCTCATATTGAAATAAATGTAATTAGTCTTTAAGGCACCATTAGACTTCTGTCTTATTTGGCTTATGTTCTGAAATACTGCCATTCTTTGTGACTTATAATCTTTTGGAAAAGACATGGGTATAGTCATTCTGCGCTCTTTTAGCAGTGGCATCCTATGGAACTTTTTATACAGAAGCAGCATTTAATGCCAGTCACAGTTAAGTGACAAGATTTTGTAATACAGTTGCAAAATATAGTCTTCAGGTGGTCTGTTGTAACATTCACTGTATATATGATATGGGCTTAGGTCTAGTCTGCCAATGGCTTCAGTCTTTCTTCTTTGTTAGGTCTGTAAACTTCTAAAGCAGTGGATATTCTTTTGCTTGCAAAATGGGTCCTTGTATAAAAGAAATATATGATCTGTGCATAGGAACCTGTGGAAATCAAATGTGTTACATGTTCTCACATACTTCAGAAGAAGTACCTGATGGTGCTTAATGTAGTTCCACATAGGAAAATAAGTAGTTCTGGGCCTGGACAGTATCTGAATGGGAGAAAGACTGGGTATTCTAGGTCAGGAAAGGGTGAGTACAAATAAATAAAAATTATAAAACACTCCCGCAAGTATACATAAGCATCTGCATCTCGTCCCATGTTCTCAAACTATTATTCCAAAACCTGTTCTAAATGCTTCTCAATGCCAAAATGAACTCTGAAAGAAATCAGTAACCAGTTTTAATGATCTACCTACATTTTGACCACCTTTTGCAGGTTCCCACTTTCAAACCGTGCTTCAAAAATTAAAGTATTGTCCCAGTCTTCCAATGATTGAGGGAGCACCTGCTTGGAAGGGAAGCTTCCCCCTATGCGAGAATACATAAAGCTGGAATCCTTGTTAGCTGGACAAAGGAAACCAATAGAGAATTACTGTTATGAATGACTATAAATCTATAAAACACTCTGTGCAAAGAGACTATACAAAGTTTTTAGACATATTCTTTTCTGAAGCAAAGTATACATTTGGAAAGAAATTGTGATACATTATATATTCCCAGTTCTCTGTTTTCTTATACATAAATAATATCTCAGGAGAAGCACTGAAAAAAGAAAATTTAAATCCATGTGTTTATGATCAGGATTTCAAAAGATATTTAAATATGTATCATAAGATCTGTGAAACGTGGGCTGTGTCCTACCCTCTACTCAGCAGATCTGGAGACAGACTCCTTAGATTGCAGGAAGGCTTCAAATTAAGTGACTCCTTAGACAAGAGGAAGGCTTCAAACTTTGCAGAGAGAAGTGATAGAATATATGCCACCATCACTTATCATTTTTCTAGTCCTGCATATGGATTAAATTAGTAGGAGGAACTGACATAACTTTTGCAGTCAATTAATTCAAATCAGGCTTTTGAAACCTGACCTTGTAGGTAAGGTTGCCAGGTTCCCCCTGGCCATCAGCAGGGGATGGGGTGGGTAGGGTTGCCAGAACCAGATTAGGAAACTCCTGAAGATTTAGGGATGGAGCCTGGGGAACACAGGGACCTCAGTGAGCTACAATTCTGCAGAGTATCCATTTTCTCCAGGGGAACTGATCACTGTAGTTTGGAGTTGAGCTGTAATTCCAGGAGATCCCCAAGTCCCACCTGGAAACTGGCATCCCTACTTGTGGGCTATGTACAGACAATAAAAACTGTCTTCTTAAACTTTTTTTTTTAAGTGTAGTTGATAGGGTCCTTATTGTGTTGCTGTAAGGACACTAAAGCATGGAGGCTCTGTGGGGCATACACAGCTAGCAGCACATTTCAAAAATAGGCTTTGCAAGTAACAGGTGCCAGTGAAGGAGGCGGGCAAGGACCAGGGCAACTCTGCCCAAATTTAAAATCAAAATGAGGCCTTTGGATGCTACAGTCTGAGAACTGCTGCCCTATCTTATGAAAAATCCTCTTGTTTACATGCAGTCTATAACAAATTGTGCTCAGACCTTCATCTGCTAGATAGACAACAGCACCCTCTCCAGGGTCTGGGCAGAGTGGTTCGATTTCCAGACCTGTTGGGTTATATAATGGTTCTGGTTCAGGGGGAGTCCAGTCTGAAAAAGAAGAAATTAATGCTTAAGTTCGAGGTGTTAGTCTTTTTTTTAAAAAGGCACAGGAGAAAAAAATCCAAAATCAAGTAAAGTAATAAAGCAATCTGATGAGGGATATGAATAATAGTGCCATCGCACTTCCAGGAGAGCCAATGATAACAATACAGAGATCAGTCAGGAACAATTAATAAGAGGGTTTTGTTGAAAGCTTGGCTTTTTTTTGGTTGACTTTTCCCACAATGTTCATAGTCAGCAACACAATGCTATTATTGAGAGATCACTGAACCTGAGAAGCTATTACTGTACAAGATGGACGCTTCTTCTTTTTCCATTGTGCTGTTGGTAAGGAGACAATGGTAATTCTAAATGGGGAACCCAAAGAAGCATGAATAGATTTAACGGAGGAGATTTTTGTGGCTTGCTCTTCCCCACTTGTGCCCCCTAAGCTTCTCTAGAGGGTATTCAGGATATTAAGGAATACTGAGGGAGGCAATGGTGAGAAAGCTGCAGCCAGAGCAGGTCACTGATAGAAATCCCATCTGTAACGATTCCTTGTTTCTGTGCGTGTGTGTCTCTTTAAAAGTTTGGTTGCATGTCTGTGATAGAGTGGTTGAGAGAAGCAAGTGTGGTATGATTGGTGGTTGACAGAGAGGGGAAGGTGTTTTGGAAGTGAATCTGGTTGGATGAGTATGTGAGTCAGTCAGGAGTTTCAGTTAGATGTTGACAGTTGATGTTCAGTTAGAGTTCTGGGTTGAAGCAGTTAGAGAAGGACAGCTGCGGTTGTTCAGTGAGAAAGCTGAATGTATAGGAAAAGTAAAGTAAAGTTTAAGTGAAAGTAAAGTTAAACGAAAGCTAAAAGCTGAGTGTCATAACAAATTTAAGGGGAACAGTGATCATATATGGCATTGAGATAAACAAGTGTTACAAAGTTACATGCAAAGATCCCTGTCAGTGAGGGATAAGATTGAGTGTGATACCAAAACAATTGTACATCATTTACACATTACTAGTTACCTTGTATCACCCTCTTATTTAATATTTATTTAAATAAATCCTTTTTTATTCAAGTTTATACCAGCTCTGAATGAAATACTTCCCAGGACCACATAGTTCCTCGTAAGCCTTAAACTCGGTCTACCAACTTAGTAAGAGCAACATTATAAGCATAAAGGTTTGGAAATCCTTAAAATTTCCTCTACCCAGTTAAACAAAATACAGAACACTTTTAAAGTGAAACTAGTCCTCCCCAATAAGGAGGACGTCACACCATCCCTCAGTTTTTTATGCAGATTGCAGAAGAGTTTGCCCACTCCCTGCCATTCCTGGTTGGTCCACATACCTTCAGGAAGTGCTTTTTGAAGGGCATAGCAGATGTAGTGGTAAGGGAAAGCCAACAAACACTCTTTGCATTGATCTTGTTATACTTAGGATCCAACAAATGAGATTTCAGTCTTTTATGTGAAATAACCAGGGGTCATTTCGTAGAAAAAGGGGTGCAGGAGCTCATTAGCATAACTCATTAGCATAGCTCATTTGCATATGCCACACCCCTTACATCACCCGAAGTGTGTCAGAAGGCAACATCCACCGCTCAGGCTCCACCCCAAAAATCTCCAGGTATTTCCCAACTCAGAGCTGGCGAGCCAGCTTTACACTTTGACTAAAGACACTTTAGGTTTCCTTCGCTCTTGCAGGGGAGCTACCCTACAACAAGCATGAAAATACAGATCAAGTTAGTATGCTTTTTCTTTTTCTGCAGTAAATCATGAGAACAATCAAAAGATTATTCTGACAACAACATGCCCGGGAGAGATATTAATTAAAAGGGCAATGTTTATAGCAGTCTTGAGGAACATGCGTTCTATTGCACCTTCACACGCATTAAGACCAGACAAGGTATAATCCCAAACAGACATCACACCAGGAGCCATGTACACAATGCTGCCCATGTGTGCCATCTACCATAAACACATCAAGGCAGGCTATAGCAACTTAAAGATGGGGGAGGGAAACCAACAGATTTGTTCCAGGCAGCCCAACACACTGGGAAATTCTCTTACCCAAAACCCAAACAGAGCAAGTGGGAGACTTGCATGACATCAACTTCCAAAGAGTCATGATATTGGACAGCTTCCCAATACTTCACACCTCATGCCATTTTTTTTTTGTTTGAGTTTCTTAACACACCTTGAGTCAGCCCTAAACTAAAATCTAAATATTGACACTAAATACCAGTGGAGCCCATGCAAGTCAATTGACATTCCTGGATCTCATTATCTCCAATGGGACTTCAAGCCTCTTCCATTGTTTCTAATGGGGAATCCTGTCATTCCTTTTATACATCCCAGTTAGTTGCCCCTTTGAAACTGTACCACACCATTTTAGGTAACAGCAAAATGAAGAGCATGAACACGTGCAGAGTGCACATTTCATGCCAGTGTTCCCTCTGGGCTGCACACAGGGCAAAAGGAAATTTTAAAAGGCCTCTGATCTGTTCCCCCCTCCCCCAAAATCTTGTTCATGCAGATGGCGGAGAGAGAGAATTAAGTTGTGCAGAGAGCTGGTCGACTGACAACACAGATATATCATGGCACAAGCTCAGGGGGTTGTGGCCCCTGGCCCTGAGGGCTTCACAAGGAACCAGAATTATGATTTTGCCGCTATCAAGGCCAGGACCATAGGCAGCAGACCAAGACAGCTGGAGACAGGAAACACAAGTAAGCACCAAGATGTATAAGCCAGCACAGACAGAGAACCTCCTCCTTGCAAAAGCTTTCCCTTGACTAGAATGAGAGACCACAGAGTGGAATGACAGCCCCTGGGGGTAGCAGGAGTGTTCACTGCTACACCCTAGGGCTGTCATTCCACTCTGGGGCCTGTCATTCCAGTTCTGGAACACTCCTGGTACACCCTGGGGCTGTCATTCCACTCCGTGGTCTCTCATTCCAGTCCCTGAACACTTCAGCTATACCCAGGGGCTGTCATTCCACTCTGTGGTCTCTCATTCCAGTCCCTGAACACTCCTGTTACATCCAGGGGCTGTCATTCCACTCTGGGGCCTGTCATTCCAGTTCCTGAACTCCTGTTACACCCTGGGGCTGTCATTCCACTCCATGGTCTCTCATTCCAGTCCCTGAACACTGCTGCTACACCCTGCGGCTGTCATTCCAGACACCAGGAAGAACTCTACTCAGATCACTCCTGTGATCTAAAGCTTGCTGGGTGACCCCTGGTGAGTCCTCTCACAGACACACCTACCTCACAAGGCTGTTGTGTGGCTAAAACAGGGGAAAACCTGAGCTTTTCCGCAGAGCGGACGGGAGGAGTGACCGGAGACTGGTGCCCTCACCCCCATAGCCCAGGGCGCGTCGGGCAACCAGCTGCCTTTCGGGCAGAGGACAGAGCCAGAAGAGCCCGCACCAGAGAGCACTTCTGGCCCTGTTGCAGGAGCTGCCGCCTGGCTCGGGCAGCAGGCTGAGAGAGGGATATGGAGGGAGGAGTGGCGAGCAACTCGCCCTAAAGGCATGGTGGTGGCAGTGGCGGTGGCTGCCGCAGCGGCACAAAAACCACCGGCGGTGCCTTCCAGCCAGCAGCAGACAGTTGCAAGCCTTCACCCCTGTGCGCCGCTCAGGGTGTGCAATGAGGAGGGTGCAGAGGACAATGGCATTACAGTGTGCAGCTCCAGGGGGAAGCTCGAGCCTCTTGCCCCATCCAGCGGCCCCCGTAAATGGGAAAGGGCAAGCAGGCAGGCCGGGAAGGGCGGGGGAGCCTTCCCCGGGGTGCCGCGCCTTCGCACAGGCTGGAGAACCCAAGGAGAAGGCGGAGCACAGAGGAGAGTGCTGCTGGGAGCAGGGGGTGGGGCTTGGTCGTGTGCCTGCCCCCTTGGCTCCTCACTCCCGGAGCGCCGCTCCTCTGTGGTCCGGCTCCAACTGACCCCTGGAAATAACCAATGATACTGAAATCAGTTTTAAAACTGCAGGAGGGAAAGGTGAAGACTGAGGGAAAGGGGAGATAGATAAAGGTAGGTTGTAGGAAGGAGAGATGGAATCAGGAAATGGGGAAAGGCTATAAGGACTTTCAGGGAAGGAAAACAAGAAATAGTGGGAGAAGGGAGCATCTCATTTCCCCCTCCTCCATTCTTTCTTCCTTCCCTTCCCCTGCAAGCCTCTTCTTAGGAAAAACTGGGGCTGAGTTGCACAGTGCCAGCTGGGCCAGGCCCAATAGCGTGGTGAAGAACCCATAAGGACTTCCAGGGGACACCTCACTTTCCCATATATCACCTTCCCCACAATAGCTCATCTTTTCCTCCTCCTGGCAGCCCCCATATCCTCACCTTTCCCTGTTTCTTCCTCTCCTTCCCACCCACCAACTTTTTAATTGCCACTCACCTTCAGCTATATTTATCATTTACTTAATTTATACCCTACCCTTCTACACAATGAAGACTCATAGAAGCTTACATCATTCTCCTCTTCTCCATTTTATCTTCACAGCAACCTTGTGAGGTAAGTGAGGCTGACCATGTGTGACTAATACAAGGTCTCCCAGTAAGCTTCTACAGCAGAATGGGGATTCAAACCTTATTCTCCCAGATCTTAGTCTGAAACTCTAACCACTACACCACACTGGCTTCCGTGGGACGACTGCTGTTGAATAGTGGCAAGTAGCTGGCCCTGGGCGATTCATGACAGGTGACAGAAGCTGCTTCATGGTTGCTGCCAGGGCTGTTCTCAGTGAGTCTTCCCTCAAAGGTCAAAACCGACCTAAAAAGGGCCCTGCCCCTCCCCGCCTTTTACTGACAGAAATCAAGGCTTGAAGGCTAGCAGTATGGTTGTGGTTGGCTAGCAAACCCCATAGCAGCCACTGAGATCTCCTTATTTAAAAATACAGGCATTGCTGCTATTATTTGGGGGGTGAGGGCAATTTGTTTTAAGATTTCAGATTTGTTCACAAACCTAGGGCTGTTCTCAGGTTTGTAGAAAGATTTGTCTTGTCTGTTCATG